CTGATCCCTGATCCCATCGATACCTCATGATCACACAGGCTGGTATGCTTCTTCCATGTGGGCTTTGTTGCTTTTCAGTTAGATGGCCACTTGTTTATCTTCAACCCTTTAAGGCCCCAGACACTGTATCTTTTGACAGCCGGGCACCGTCAGCTTTCTCAGTGAGTGGAGTCTTAAAGGTTGCAAGCAGCCATCTAAGATACAACTGTTGGGCTCTACTTGTCTATAGAGCAAAAGAAAATGAAGGAAGCCAAAGGCTCAAAACGTGAAACATGGCCTCCTCTCACTTGACTGACAGTAGAACTAGATAGTACTGGGCTACCACTACTACCAGTTCCAATCATTTTTTCTAAGAACTCTTAAAGATAATTTCTCATTTCCTTGGATTCTATTTGGTATTGAGTAGTTTTCTACTTTCACTGTTTTTTTCCCAAGAAAAACAAAAAAACACTGGAAAAGCCTGCCCTCTGCTTGTGGGCGCTCCTAGACTAGAAAGTTGAAGTGCTGCTGAAGACTCGGTGGTGATACTAGTAGTGTTGTTGTTAGGTTCCAACTCATAGCAACCCTATGTACAACAGGAAGAAACCCTGCCCAGTCCTGCGCCAGCCTCACCATTGTTCTGATGTCTGAGCGCACCGGGGCAGCCACTGTCCACCCATCATGTGGAAGATCTTTCCAGTGAGGCTAAGTAAATGCCCAGTCTCTATTTGTTTTCCTTGGGACCACTTAGAATATTGGCAACTAGGTTTGGGTGCTCTTATTTATAATGGTTGCCCTCTGACCTTCTGTCTAGCAAAACCCTGCCCTGGAACCCCCAGATGGTCAGAGAGTCTCTCATCAACGAATGCTAATGAAGCTATGGATGTTAGAAACTAAATTATACCTGCAGCTGCTTCCAGATTGGTGACTCCCCACAAGCTATTCAGGGCCTTTTTCGGCTTTCTGTCACGCTATCCTAAGAGGCTAAGATGAAGAGAAAAGAGGTTGTCACTTCTTCCTGTTAGTACGCAGTAAGGAGGAGTAATTGCTGTGACATGATGTTTTTGTGCTTTCTTTGCAGAATGCATCCTGTCTCGTTCTTGCTGCCCGGCATGCCAGTGCTTCCTCCACGGTAAGGTTCAGAAAAGAGGATAAGAATCACGGGCAGCCTGACCTAAGGATGAGTGACTAGGAACCACTGGGCCTTTGGTTGTTATCTTGGCAATAAAACCAAACTGCCCTCCCTTACCACTATACCCAATTACTAAATGTGGAAAGACCTTAAGTGAGCATACCTCTTCTGGAGGTATACATTGTTGTTGCTGTAGCTATTGCTGCTATTCCTGTTCTAAGAAATCACTCATTGGCATAATGAGGTGTAAATATCCGGTGCTTTTGTTTAATTCTTTAGCCCTCATCTGTGCAGAATAGTTGACTTTCTTGGCAGGTAAAGTCACATTCCCAGAAGAAAAGTTTCAACCACTCCCACTTCGCAGGAAACCTAGCCAGCTTTCTGACCATCACTTTTCTACTTCTCATTTTAGAATTTGAAAGATGTACTGGCTGATATGATCCCTAAGGAGCAGGCCAGAATTAAGACCTTCAGGCAGCAACATGGCAAGACAGTGGTGGGCCAAATCACTGTGGACATGGTAAGAGCTCTGAAGTCATCTTGGGTGGGGAGTGTAGCTCAAACGTGCCTCAATAAAGTACCGTTCTTCTCATGGCTGTTCACAAGTGTCGAGGTTATGGTATTCATCAGCCATTCTAAAAACCCACTGCTATCAAGTCGATTCTGAGTCAGTGACCCTATAGAAGATTTCTGTGGCTATAAATCTTTACAGGAACAGACATCCTCATCTCTCTTACATTTAGTGGCTAATGGATTTGAACTTCCAACCATGCAATTAGCAGTCCAGTGCTCACCTGGGCTCCTTTCTTCATCAGAGATTAGACTTCCTTTTTTCTTCCCCTACAAATTTTTAGTAGTTGATCTTAAACTGATTTACCCAGGGTGTGGGTGAATGAAGTACTTGGTTGACCTCTGAGGTGGAGGAGAGGGAGAAAAGAGACTAGGTCTGGGTAGTAAGGAAATGGCATCAATCAATCTGTTGCCACCTCCTTTTCCATCTTGATGCTGCTAGTCAACCGTGGTCCTGTCCCCTTCGTGCGGAGGTCGAGGACTCTGCCTTTGTGGTGATGATGGTGAGCCGACCATCCAGAGCCCTAGCATGCTCTCTAGATGAGGTGAAACAAAACATCCATTGCAGTAAGATAAATTGTGACTCTCAACACTGTTCAACAGTTTAACTGCCCATCTTTTTCCTGTAGCTTCAAGCCACCAACCTTTCAGTTAGCAGCCAAGTGCTTAACTGCTGTGTCACCAGGGCTCTTTAGTACGTATGTAGGATGACTATTTCCCTAGTTCTAAGACTGAGCCACTCAACACAATTCTATGGCAGTGTTTAGCCATTCATTTTCTCCCCTGTAGTCTCATTCTGTTTGCTTTCATTGGTCAGAATGAGAGGGTAGAGTAAGGATGACAAGAAAAGGTAAAATACAATAAGAAAAGGAAGCAAACAAATATTAAACAAGGGATTTGTCAGTTTAATATTTTCTTTTCCAAAGTCTGTCTTAAAGAAAGTTAACTCCTCAGAAGTCTTCTTCCTCCAGATGAAGTCTTACGAATCCGAATAGATTTTTCTCTTTCACATCCCATGCAGTCCTGCCACCTCTAGCTTGAGTAATTTTCACTTGTCACATCCTTCTCTTTAGATGTATGGTGGTATGAGAGGCATGAAGGGATTGATATACGAAACATCCGTTCTGGATCCTGATGAGGTAAGACATCTTGGCAATCACTGTAACCATGGTATTTACTGACCAGTATGGATTAAGCTAGAGTTAAGGAGAGTAAAACAAAACACCTGCCTTCAGATTTTTGGATGGTGGAGGATAAGAGTAAATGAATGAAATACTGTGGTTTTTTGGTGTGCAAATAACATGAGTATTACATTGTTTTTACAAACCATGCAACCCCCTCCAACATGCTATTGCTATTATATGTGAAATTAAGGTAACTTGAAAGACAGTACTTTTTTTTTTTTTT